TAAACCAGGACACGTAACTGATTTAGAGCATAAACGCCCCAAAAACCTAATAAAATCAAATGCGTGTTTGTGGTGTCGCGTATGGTTTTCTGCTCGATAATGTTTAGTTATAGTGCAGTCTGACATGGAAATTAACAAACCCCACCTTCACTTGACTAACGTAATATGCAGATACGTGACAGATTGCACAAAAAGACTTCACATACAAAATAGGTAGTAGTATTGTACAGTAGATCAAACACCTCGAGTATCATCCACCAGATTCAAATATATAAAGAAATCTAAACGAAATTTTATTGTAACCCAATTGTAGTACCATATTTCTGAAGCAGTTGTGGCATTATTTCGAATGTTCTTTCAGATGACAATATCTCGACAGTATTATAACATCTCCACTTTCAGAAAGTGGACCATGATACTCTCCTGCATAGACTCGAATCAGAGTTCGGTATGTCTGGAAATGCTGTCACGGTTGGAAGTCATGTGCTTTAAATCGTTCACAAAGTGTTATCATCAAGTTCATGGCCGTTCTGAGACCAATTTTGTTTAATCATTATACCAAACCCCTCTGCTATATTGTCAGAAAACATGGAACATTTTTAACTATCTTTAACTTACATGCTGAAGACAACCAACCACCAATTTCCTTTAAACCTACCCAGTGTGATCTTAATCTATCCTAATACAACCTGGATGAATAACAAAATAATTTTCCAAAATTCGAAGCTGATCAGACAGAATTCCTTGTGATTGGATCTGGGGCAGGAGACAGCTCGATCGAGACTTTAAAATCTGCGAGAAACATCGGTGTAATATTTGATTCTAACTTGTCCATGGGGAATCATTTCAACATACATATTTGTTTTTACTTTGGTTAAGACACATTAGCCAAATGTAATTTTCCAACCTTTTATGTCTTTATTAGCCCTGTCGCCACTTACGTTCTTGAAATGATACGTTTCTCTTTGAGGAGGAAAATGCATTTTTGTGGTGAAAGAGCATTTGAGAATGTAGCTCCAAAACTATGGAATAGACTTCCATATCCTATTACTATCAACAATTAATTATCTGTATCATTTTATAACTGTCTCCTATTTTCTTACAACCTTTGTCAGTGTCAATTTATATTTTACTTTTATTTGGAACATTCCTGGTATTTTATTCTGAAGGTTTTTTTTATCCTTCTACTTCTTACAATCATGGTTTATTGTAAATCACCTTTGAACACTCTTTGTGAAAATGACGATAGATAAAGAAATTATTACGAGTCTCAATATTACGAGTATCAACACAATAAAATTGCACATGCTTTTAAATGTCTTTCGTTTGGACTTCAAAGCCCAAACCTATGGAAGGGTATCGCTGACAATATTAAATGCTCTGCTACAATGTCTTTTCTATTGATTATATGTAAAAAGTACAATGTACAAAGTCCTAATACCGGTAATGATAAAGTCAAAATGTAAAACGTCAAATGTTAAGTGTTAAATGACAAATGTTTTGTGGGAAAATGCTTTTTTTTGGCGTGTCTACATTTTACATTTCTCTCATTACATTTTACATTTGCTCTCTGCCACATACCATTTGTCCTTCACTCTTTCTACATAGCATGTTTCGCACAGCATCAAATTTCATATGCAAATGTAGGATATCACGTACGGAAACCTGGCACACTATAAGCCAGAACAAGGATATTCACGACACTATAACAGGAAATCAGCCTAGCACACAATATAAATTTACTGACCTTGACAATTTGGATTCTACTTTACCATGATTTCTTGAGGGGAGGGGGTGGGGTGGCTGTGCAATGTTCAAATACGAAATTCCAGGTATCATGTTATATATTAGTGAAAAGCACGTTTATTTCTGTTTGTAAATATGTAAATAGTTTTCTGGTGCAATCGTATTTTCATAATTCAAATCCAATAAATATCACATTATTAAAGGGGTATTTAAGTAAAAATACTGGTCTAAATACGAAATTCCAGATACCATGTTACGCATCACTGATTGCTCTTTTCAAATATGCAAATAATTTTCTGGCACATTCATATTTGCTTAACTTTACAAAATAAGATTAAAGTTGAAGTGAAGGAAGGGTGGGGAACTAAATTAAAATAAAGATACGGGACTTAATCAAAAAATCTTTATGTCCAAACTCAAAAATGTATAGTCATTCCACTGTTTAAATATATTATTTAGTTGTTGGGCACAATGGTCAATGCTTATATAGTGTTGTTTTTGTAATGGATCAAAGTTAATTAGGCTGTACTCAACTCTGTTTAAAGAGAGACCGGAAAAAGTGGAGGGTGTTTAAAATATCAAAATACGGGTATTATTACGAAATTCCAGTTATTGTGTTATAAATTACTAGAAAGTATGTTTTTTTGGCTGTTCGAATCTATCAATTATTTCCTGGCACATTCATGATTACACACGGTCGTTTAGATAGTTTCTTATGGTGTGCCAGCTTGATTTACTGTTATCGTGCGGTGAATATCCTTATAGTGGGCTGGTTTATAGTGTGCCGGGTTTCCGTATATGTTAATAAGTCACGTGATATCCCACATTTGCATATGAAAGTTGATGCTGTGCGAAAGTTGCTATGTAGAAAGCGTGAAGGACAAATGGGGTGTGGCAGAGCGCAAATGTAAAATGTAATGAGAGAAATGTAAAATGTAGACACGTAAAAAAAAAGCATTTTCCCACAAAACATTTGTCATTTAACACTTAACATTTTACATTTAACTCTTGCCTTAGAGGTATTTTGACTTTATTGTTATCGGTATTGGGACTTTGTACATTGTACTTTTTATATATAATCAATTGAAATGACATTGTCGCAGAGCATTTAATATTGGCAGCGATACATTTCCATACAAACCATCGTGACAGTGTGATACACCATAGCCATAACATCGCAGATAAATGAAAATTACCAATTTGCAGAAGTAAAATCATTATAATTGTTAGAAGTCTTAAATAATCATCAGCTGTTTTCCTGCTTAAACAGATCAATGATGAAGATATTTATTTAATGCGTTTTTATCAAGAAACTTGGAAAATCTTAACATAGTTGCCATATTGATCTTGTGCCGTTGTTTATCCTTCAAATATAATTTAACAATAGCGTCTACTCGATTTTTTAAAGGTAGCGGAATTCAAAATGAAAATGTTTTAATGATACAAGAGCATGATTTTAGTTTAACCTATAGGAAATAAATGCGTTTGCAGCAACAATGTGTGGTTGGTTGTTTTTCCTCCTTTATCAAAACATATGAAGGTGAATAAAACAAACAACCGCCACCCAATTCAAACGTTAGATACTCATGTTTTGTTTCTTTTTCTGTCATCTGAAAACACAGCTTTCAATATGATCAGACCCAACACATACCTTCAAGTCTATGAGAAGTTAGATCCAAACCCATGACGATAATTAAAACACAAGGTACAATTTTATGGATACACGATTACTGAGTTTAACACTAAGCGAGGTTTCGATGAGGATAGTCTCTTCTTTATCAAGCAAATGATACAGACATGTGAAATAGTAGACAAACATATACAGAATATGCAACAGAATATAGTTACGGTCCAGTTTTAGTTAGTCTAATAATAGGTTTTATCGTTCATGATTTTTAGATTATTGAATTAACACATTTATGGTTTCCCCTTCATCAGCAATTACTCTTGTTCAGGGGCTTATGACCAACTTATACATTGAGTTCCATACTTTTGTTCTAGTTCAGTGCGTATCCAGTTTTGCAGTCTAACTATACATTTTACATATATCTTGATTTTCAGTTTTACAGTCTGATAATACATTTCTTGATTTTCAGTTTAATGAATTAATTTATTTACGGTTCCCTTCGTCCACTTTTATAGTCTAATAATAGGTTTTATCTTTCATGGTTTTCAGTTTATTAAATTAATATATTTACGGTTTCCCTTGCATCAGCGATGATTCTTATTCACCCCCCCCCCCTCTTCATACACACATTCCTTTTAAAATATTGTTAAATCTATAGCTCAGGTTAATTGGTTTCCCATTAATAGTGTTAGTGTCCCCCCCCCCCCAACCATTTAAGCCCGTAAGAGTTTCCGCTGTGTTGGTTAAGTTGTAAATGGCCTCCTAATCAATGGTGTTAAGTTTTAATTGTATTTGATTGCTATTTTTGTTGCATATTCTGTATATATTTGTGTTAAGTTTTAATTGCAATTGATTGTTATTTTTGTTGCATATTCTGTATATATTTGTCTACTATTCACATATCTGTATTGTCTGCGATATCACCTCGGTGGAAGCGGACGTAAAATACAACTAACTCACACAACCATATCTGTATCATTTGCATGACATCGAGAGTTGACTATGGTCTGGATAAGTTAATTAATGTCTAATTAATAATTTAGATAACATTTCTGGCCTAAAGAAAGACCTGCAGTAGGCAGATTTAGCTCTCGCATAATGTATGTTTAAGTTTATTTCTATTATCACTGACGATAGGGGCTTAAAAGTTGATTCATTATAATCTTTAGTTGATTTCCCATGCATCAATATTTATTTCCACTTAACAACCGGGTCAGTTTCCACCCACTTAATAACCGGATCAAACTAATATTATGGGTGAAATCCCGGCTAAATATAAAATAAAAGAATACATAAATGTTCTTTCAAGGTGCAAATGTCATGTTTATATATTAAATTTCTTTCTTGATTTAACGTACGTAACGAAACACTCACGACACCCTTCATATTGGCGATTAAACAAAGAGTAATCTTCGACTGTCATTTTTTAAAAAGAAGTAATCAGACAAACTATTTAGTTACAGTTTCCTTTACGTGACTTTCGGAATTTTTGGACGCATGTTCGAAAACTTTAGCATCTTTCAAATCGATCAACGCCTTGGTTTTGTTTAAAACTTGCTTTTTGCATGCACAAAAGCCAATGCTTCAGTTTATCTGGCAACAGCTCACGGAAAATACCTCGGAAATCACAACCATAGTGGGCCGAGTAAACAAAGGCAGTAAACAAACGAGGGTTTTTGTTTAGATGAATGAGGCGTATTTAACGACGGATTATTGGCAGAAATATCCAAATGAGGATTAGCAGAGAGGGTTAGACAGGGATTATGGTAAATCTCCAACACAAAGCTCGCGTGTTAACATCAAGCGAGGATGTTCCAAGTTAAGAGTTAGACAGTCTTTATTAAAAGAGGAACATAGCCATATGGAAAGTTTTCAATTTTTAGTTTAAATTTGGCTTTTAGTGTTGAATGACTCACTTCTATGCGATTCAAGTCTGAACTTTAAAGCTTACTTGAGTTCAAGATTTAAATAACTAGTAACATTTATGTTACGAAACAGTGGCAGTTTGATTCGGAGTCAGTTCGTGACGATGAATAACAAACTTTTTAAAACTATTATCTTCAGGGGAATTAATCTCTTTTCATATTTGTAATTGTGTTTGAAGCAATCGATTCATGTTTATATTTAGCTGTGACTTATCGCAGGTGTACTCTTCGGCGATGTAAATTTAATTTGGAGTAAGAAAATAAAGTATACCAAAGTGCCTTAAATATCGTCCTGCTAATCTGCTGCAATGGATATTAAACATTTAGTGTGTGTTGGAATTATAACCCAGATGAGTTTTATAAGTGTTGCAAGTAAGTAGGCCTTAAAGCGGTACTATCATCAGTGTAATAACCTTTGAATAAAATATTTCTAACAAAGAAAAAATAGAAAAAAAAAGAAACACATCGACTCAACTAATTATTGAAAATTGAAACATTGATCCATACTCAATTTTATGTTATTGTTTCAAATCATTTATTAGTTTTTAGATATGTAAGTAGCAAATTGCTTTTTAGTTTGTATTTTCAATTAGTTGCATAATGTAAAAGCTAAATCTGGCTATTGCAGGTCTTGTGGCCTCAAATGCTTTATAGATTATTAATTAGCCAATAATCTACTCTCGAGAGCATCAAATGGTCGTGAATTTATTGAATTGAAACACGGTCGTCATTGAACTATTTAATTTAAAAATAGATAATCGGGATATTGTTTATTATCGTATCAGCGCTAGCAGTGAAAATGAAACTACGCTGTTCTTACCAAAACTTCAAATAATCATAACTTCGCCCAGAATAAAGTAATTTGGCTCAAATATTCCATATTAAGGTCCATATGACATGTGGTGTTCCCCAATGGTCTGTTTTATGTCATGTACTGTTCATTATCTTCACCATTAACGAAAATCATTGAAAAGTTTGGTCTTAATATTCACTTGAATGTCGGCGATACACCGATATACGCCTCCTTCAATCAACAATCTACTAATTCAGCTTTAATTATTATTGAAAACTGTTAGGAAGAAATCAGGTTATGGATGACATCACACTTTCTGAACCTGAATCCTAAAAAATGAGTATCTAGTAATTGGAACAAAACAGCAACTTAGTCAATTTTCAATACCATCTCTTAAATTTCAACACGAAAGGCTTGCTCAGTCTCCAGAAGTCAAAAACATTGGCACGGTTCTAGATTCTACAATGTCCTTTAACTCCCACATCAAATCTGTTTGTCCTTTTCTTATTTCCATCTTCACAGAATTAACAAAATAAATAAGTATATAAATGCTGAGAGTACAGAACCATTCATTCATTCGTTACAAATAAACTTGAATATCACAGCAATGCCTTATTTTTTGGCCTTCCAAATTATCAAATTCAACACCTTCAACGAATGCCGCCAGAGCTTTGACCAGTACAAAAAATTCCGAACACATCACTCCGATCCTAAAAAATCTTCATTGGCTCCCAGTTCAACAGCGAATCAAGTTCAAAATACTACTGTTGACTTTCAAGGCGTTACATAATCAATCAACAACATATATCAAAGATCTGATTATTCCATATAAATCCACAAGAACTCTTAGATACACTGATAAACAATTTCTCTATCAAACATCAGTGAATCTTGAAATTGCAAAAAGATCTTTCTCGTTCACTGCTCCTCTCTTATGAAATTCATTGCCTTACAGCATTAGAACCATTGACTCCTTGGATGCATTTAAATCTCATATAAAGCTTTTCCTGTTTACAGAAGCGGTTCCATAGTTCAATAGATAAAACTTGAAAAGTGCAAAAGAAACTTTTGTTTTAGTATTTCATCCTATCAGTTTTTTGATGGTTTTTGGTTGCGTTGGGTGTACTGAATGACATCCTAAAAGTTTACAAATATTGGAGAACCGGAAAGTCCCAAAGTGGGGATAAAATCATAAAGTTACTGGAATAATTATTGAGCTATATAAATAGAGGATTATTATTATAATGATATTTTTTCATTATCTAGTTTTAAACTAATATAGTGAGAACTGTAAGCTTTTATTTAACATAATGCATCTTTAAGAAAAGTCACAATAATATCAATACGTTCTAGATCCAAAGGTAATTTGTGTCCCCTATGGTCAGGTGAGTAAAGTAAACGGGAGAATTCTATAGAACAAGAACGATTTCGCCTATAATAACTAAGCGTCGAATTTCAACGTCAAATGACCATTTCCTGTACGATAATGTGTACACGCTTGGTTCTGGGTTTGTCGTTACATCCAACCAAACATCTACGTAACATTTTAATAAAAGTCCCCATATGAGCTACCTCTGATACTTGGGTACAGGGATTGAAATTGTCAGAGATTCCAGTCCGCCCACACCGGGATTCGAACCCAAAACATTTTAATCCAATGAAAATAATACTAAAGATAAACAATACCCTGTACATATCGCTATGGATTATATGTTAATATCAAGATATACTTAGCGTCATGTGAACAATATTCAAATGGGAACACATCAATAACAACACATTTGTACATTTATGGATGTTTAATCTGTAATCAACGGTACAAAGTCAGAGGGGTCAAAACCAAAAGTACGACACAGATGTCAGTAGCGCGTGTGTCCTCCATGGGCTCTTACGCACGCTGTGCAGCGACGTCGCATATGGAATTTACCAATGTTTGAAAGAAGGCCTGGGGCAAATTGTTCCATTCTTGGACAAGAGCAGCTTCTAAAGCAGCAATGGTGTGCATCTGTGGTCTCCGATACAGACGGCGTCCAATCTCATCCCAGACATGTTCTATCGGTGCCATGTCCGGAGACATGGCTGGCCAGTCTAAGACATTGATGTTGTTAGCAGCCAGGTAGTCCATACTAAAACGGGCGGTATGCGGACGTGCATTATCCTGCTGGAAGTGCTGAAGTTGTGGGTGCCCTCGAAACATCGGAACAACAATTGGTTGAACAGTGCAAAAGATTAACCTCTTTTGAAATCAAGGGTAAACAGTTGTACCTCTGTACAATAAGGGTGACCATACCCTTGCCACGCACAAGCTTGTGTTTTAAACCACGCAAATTACACTTGATACCCCAGCTCTCCCCCACCTTGAATGATGTAATTGGTGTTCCACAGGGTTTCATCCTAGGTACATTTTATAACTATATATAGAGAATATTATTTCATTATTATTTTTTTCAGCTGGTCGACAGATGTGTTATTCCTGTGCCTACAACTTCAATGCCTTAAAGAGTGGTTATAACTGTGTAACCTACCCCAAAAATTGGACCGTCGGCGACTGGAGAATGCGATGTCCTAATAAATGCACCGAGTCCAGTCATTATTCTAAAGGTGTGTAACACATTCAGTATTGTGTAAGAGCTAAATCTTCCCATTGCAGGTCTATATTTTGGTTTCAAATGTTAACTATTATTTAGATATTTATTCAAGTAACAAGCCTCTAATCAACTCTCGGATTGTCGAGTACTGTTACTACGATATTAAACAGTCTACGCTACATCTTCAAACATCTTCATGCTTATATTTTTTTATCTTGGATATATTTTCTCAATTTTTCTCAAGTGCACTAAACAGAGTATGTGAAGACTCTAAAACCTTTTAGATAGTTGACCCTACCTATGCACAAGTAATAAACATGTCTTTGAAAACGCAATCCTTTAGCAAACTAGAGTTAAACCTTGTTTGAATGCTTCCAACTTGTCAAGATATCAAGAGTTAAACAGTGTAATCATTGTGACTAAGTTTGGCAAGATGTCCAAGAGACAATTAGTTATTATTAAAAACATTATTATACAAGGTATTTCAATGAATATACGACAGTGTACGATTGCATTTCTTATCTTAAACATACATTATGCAATAGCTAAATCTGATTATTGCAAGTCTTTATTTAGGCTTCAGATGTCATAGAAATTATAAATCAGATCTTTATTTACACAACATGCACAAAATCAACCCTGTAGACCCACGGATGGCTTGGATTTAAACAGGATTTCATTGATTGATTATTTTTTTTAAATGGCGTCGTAAGCGGAGATTAACTGTTACGTTGACGGCATACTCGCGGAAATTTTAGATCGAGGCTAAATGATAGAGTGTACGAAGCGAAGCCGCTGTTGAGCGAGGCCACATGTCAGTCAATTTGATTAAAAGTTCGATATATACGGCCTTGATGTTATGTTTAGTTGTGGTTAAAATGAGAGTTTGGATGTCGGTATTATACGCTCTTTTGTCACTTCCGTTTACAGAAAAATTATGGAAATTGATAAACATCGCTGCTAACATCACCCCAGTTACAGTACAAAAGTACACGCAGGCTAACAAGAAGTCGGCTATAATTATGCCTCAATTTGATTTGATCCATTCCTTTCAAACTTTCGCTTCTTATATTAAAAGTCTTATTTTTAATTTGTAGTAAAAATAAATGTGATACGAATTGAATTGCAACCCCGTATCAAGCGGTACCACGGCCATTGAAAGCGTTACTTGATAATCGAGATTATTTATGTGGAGATAACGCCTGTCAATCAAACGATCGGTCATTCTCGGAGACGGTGAAGAGAGAGTTGACTCCTATTTCTAGTCAAAAATTACAATGGTGATAACTTTGTTCAGAATAAAGTAATTTGACTGAAATTTTCAATATATTCTTCTTTCATCATCTATTTTTGAACTGTTATAGCAAAAATTGCCAACTCTCTATTAAAATGTCCCATAAGGTATCTTTAAATACTGTCTGTGATTAATGTTAAAGTGGGACACGAAATAAAACGATTTACCTTATTATATACATATTTCTATGACCAAAAAATGGGGTGCGGTGGATTACCATTACCTCTCCAGATTTATCTGATACCATGGGGTTAACTGTTAGAAGTAACAGGTGTCGTAGAGCACCTTTATATTTAGTATTGTTTTCCCCGTTTTTGTGGTAATAAGGACTTATTCTTTAACTTTGTAATCAATACACCTCAATTCTTTCGAACGCTTAAAATGTTTCTCACTACAACATTGATCTGGATTTTTTTTTAAAATTTCATCGATAAGGTTACTTGTATAGGTAATTTTCCTTTAATGTGCTTCCATTCATATTTCATGTGGCAAATAGCAGATCATGACTCATACTAGTATAATACAATGTTTTTGGGATATATTCCTCCTTGTTGATATATTTCATTTTTGAGTTAAATCTGTATTACTACAGACCCGGGACTGTACAGCGAAATGGACGTTAACGGCTAGTTCCCGGACACATTCACTTAATCTGATATGTGCGTTTGCTTGTGATTTCTGGGTCTTGTCCGTGAATTTGTTTTGTGTAATTACTGTTTGTATGTGGCTCAGCCCCTCCCCCCACCCTGCACTTACTATTAAACCATTTTTCATTGGAGGAGTTCACACATCTGGCAAATCTTTGGTATATTTATGTACATTAGATGTACCCTAGTAGTTTTGTATGTTAAAATTATCCTAGTATACTTTTATACATTAACTTTATCCTAGCACTTTTGTGTATTTGTTTATTTCACTCTATCCTCGTGTTTTCTAAGTGCATTCAAGACTACACTGAAAGCTAGCTTTGTAATTATATGTGTGGCTCAGTAAATAGCCTGTAACTTTTATCTATATAAAAAATAACGACATAATAAGCTTTTGAAATTCTAAAGCTATTTACATATCGGGACTGTCTCGAATAATATGCCTTTTTCTGACCGACTTCAAATATTGCACCCTATGGCTCTCTTGGCTGCATTTTGTAGAATATTTCAACGCAATAAAACCTTTTTACAATTGCCAAAATTATTTCTTTTGTCTTGCCAAGATGTCTTTTCTTGATCTGAAACTAAACACAGCGAATAGAGAAAGACAGCCAACAGTTCACATTTTTCAAAAATATATACCGTGTGACCTGAGTCACCAACTCAGCAGAATATCACTAAGTCTAATGTGATAGGTTTTGTTTGTCGAGCGTGAGTTGGAAAGTACATTCTTGTCTGGGTTACTTTTTTAAATTAGATAATGGATTTCTCGAATTATGTAGGTTTTATCATGCTATGTGGCTTGTACTGATGTATTTCGGGATGGGGTGAAATATGTTAACTAACTCAAAGAACTAAAATACTGCTGTTTTGCTACGCCTGTCGGAACGAATTTCATGTGAGGTGGGTTGGAGTAGGTGCAAAAGTGGCTCCGGGGGTTAATGGACACATATTTGCCAATTATTGGGAGGGTGGTGTGTGTGTGTGTGTGTGTGTGTGGGGGGGGGGTATTTAGTTTATAAGTTTTTAAACCCAAACAGTCCCAACTCAATTTAATAGTAAGTAACCAATTAAGCTTAAGATTTAAGGACGAAGATTTACTAAGGTATACAGAAATACATATTATTGTCTCACTTGTCTTTATGTGCAGAATCAAGAGTTTTGGATCGTTTCAGCATTAATTCTTTTTCATTTCAGAGACAGGTGAAGCGACATATTTTTATCGCGGATGTAGTGGTGGTGATGAGGTGCCGGAAGATGGTTGTACTGAAGATGATCTCAAATTCTATTGTTTCTATTCCTGCTCAGGACACTATTGTAATGACGGCCCGGCCATTGATGAAGAATTGTTTAATGAGATTAAACAAGAGGACGAATCAGCAACTGGAAATGTACCTATTTATTCGTTGATGTTGACAGATTTGGCTTTATTGATGGCAGTTTTGTACAATCATTATGTATTTGTTTGAATTAGATGCATAGTTTGTGAAAATATTTGCTTTTATATTGCTATAAATTAGGCCTATCGCTTACGGGATCCTACATTTCCATGTATTGCTCCGTTTTAAACACCGTGCTGGTTATAAAATTTATTTAAGAAGTTATCTGGTGTCGGGACCTCTGGACTAGAATGGGCTTTAATCCTTGCGTGGATCGAGAAGTGATACCTTTGATCTCGTTGGGATGGAACGCTGGTCGACCCATGTATTTACTAACGCGTGGGGAACATGAATCATTGGCAGTTGAATTATTGTCATATTGTAACCGTAGAAATAAAAATTCTTATAGAAGTTTTAACCTCTCTTAAATTAGAAGTACAAATCAATAATGTTTTTGTATAATACTGGCAAATAAACAAAATAGTTTGGGGCCAACTCTCTGCAGCTTAGTCTTAAATTGTGTCCAATATTATGCACTCTAATATGTGTTTTTATATTTAGCACGATGCTTATATTCGGTAGCTTTACCGGATAACTTATCAATTTCTGATTCATTCACGGTTATGAGTTCATGTCTTATTGTATTAATTGTATAAATACGATATTGTGTAAATACGATGTCCCAAGTGTCACCCGAGGCGTGTAAGCTTCACACAATTTAAGCACTATGCTCGTGATTTGTTTATTTCTTGGTTTGTTCACTCTGACTTTCATTATTTACCCTGTCTGTGTTGTATTCACTCTTATTTAAATTAAAGATACATTAGTTAAGACCTAAATATGTCAATTGCAAGGCTTTCTATAGACTTCAATTAATATCATATAAATTATTAATTAGACCTTTATTTACATAATAAGCCTAAAATCAACTCTGTAGACCCGCGGATGGCTTGGATACCGCTTGTGTTGAAACAGTCGTCCATTTAAGAATTAAATCGTTTAATGGTTGACCAAGCTAACATTTACTGTTAATCACTGACATCACTACCGGAGACTGTCGATGAAAGGACTGGCAATCGAGCGTACCGTAGGCATTGAGAATGTTACGTGATAATCGAGACCTTGCGGAGACCGTTGATGCCTGTTTCTAGTCCAAATTTCCAACAGTGATGATTTCGTTCAGAATAAAGTAATTTGACTGTAATTTTAAATACTTTCTCTTTTTTATCATCTATTTTGAACTGTTATATCAGGAATGACCAACGCTTTTTTAAAATCTTAACTAATGTAAGTTCACTCTAGCTTTGATTTTTAGCTATAATTTTGATCTGTTGGCTCCAATGTGGTCTGTTTTCACTATAATTTTGATTTGCTAACAATAGTTTAGATCTGTTCACTCAAATCTTAACTCATTCACGTATATCTACTTATTGAAAATCTATTCCAACTTATTCTAATTAATATATCCATATTTATCTATTTATCTTTAAAATTTAAAAAATAGATATGTTTTTCTTTTCAATTTACATATATACAATATAATAATGTTCATGTTCACCGTATCATCTCAATTATTATCTTACGTTTATCTTAATTTACTCTGATATAAATATTTTTATTTTCATTTCAATCTATTTTTTGCTTATCTCAAATTGTCATTTTAATCTTAATCTTTTTTTCTTTACTTAATCTATTCACTCTAATCTCAATATTTTACTTTGATTTGTTCATTGTTATATGTTTAATCTACACAATAATAGCATCACCCATTTTGATGAGATTTAGATGATATGTGTCCTCTGTTTATGTTCTTTCTTTCAAAAAAACAAAACCAATCGATACTGGTATTCATTTATCTAATCGATATTATGTACCGGTATGTAATCCCTAGTCACCTTATGTTATGTACTGGTATTTAGATATGTAATCGATAGTCAAATTGATTTATGTACTGGTATTTATAACGCAATGTGTTTTGTTATGTGTTCTGTACAACCCGACAAAGAAGGCTTATTTTTTGTTGAAACTAGGAATTCTGGATATGATCAGTTATTAATTTATTTACTTTGATCTGAATTTATTTACAACGCTAAAAACATATTTTCATAAAGTTTTTTTTTATAATATATTGAGATAGATATCGTTTATTTTTGATATTCTGAATTTATTGTGTCTATGAAATAAATTCTATAGTAACTAAACATATCTATAGTGTAGTGTTGAATAATTAATTTATGGGCAGGAGTTGTTCATATATGTATTCCCCTTAGAAATAATTTAACTTTACTGGTTCAGTACAATAAATGTTACCGGCTGTTTTAAACGCCATGGAGTCTTGTCCATAATAGAAACATTATTTTTCTGCGTCTAGAGGTAAACAAACCGCACCCGAATGTTTACAAGCATATGAAAGAAAGGTGTATGCTAGTCACCATAGCATACAAACGTGATTATGTAGTACTATTCACGAAACCAATTATCCAAGTACACTATTACGAATTATTAATATGAATTATTTACATATGGGTGGATATTTATGTGTAAAACTGGATACAAAACATGGACTGTGTATATAACAGCGAATGTACAACGTTTCGGTCACAGAGGTGTTTAACACTAACAACATTTCGGTCACATAGGTCTTTAACCCTAACCCAAACAACGTTTCGGTCACAGATGTCTTTAAACCTAACCCAAACAACGTTTCGGTCACAGATGTCTTTAAACATAACCCTAACAACGTTTCGGTCACAGATGTCTTTAAATCTAACCCTAACAACGTTTCGGTCATATAGGTCTTAAACCTTAACCCTAACCATTGTGGTTGGTCAGTCATACAAACAACATACTATGGCGCATTTCACTGTTGTGTACATTTGCTGTTATTTACATTTGCTGTTAGTATTTACTTATTCATACTGTAAATGGTCCACAAAGCTTCTTTTGCGTATTTATGGATGATGTGGGGGTTTAGAAAAAACTACCTAGACATTTTACCTATAGATGTAGTGTTAAATCACATTGTAAAAGATCAAAGAGGTACCCATGTTCTAAAAGATCGCAATAACCCTTCTACTATCTTAATAATAATCAGCCTCGATCGAAATGTAACATACATTTTTTACAATAATCATTAAGTTTGTTTAATGAAATGAACCGTTTTGCAGCATGTTCCAAATTCTTTTAAAAGATGATATAAAGCAAACATGAACAATAAAAAATGGCGCCATCCCACCTCCATCACATCCGTCAAAAGGATAATTACATAGTTCTAACAAAAGAAGAAAGACTACCTCATATAACAAATAAATCCATTTGTTGACAATTTTACTTGAAGAATTTATTGAAAAAATTTATTCCATAACATTTAACTGTAGATTTAGGGCTAAACGTATTCATGTCTCAGGTTTCTCTTGTTAAAATCCCTCAATAAAATAAATAATATGATACCGTGTGACGAATTGTTCTAAGAGTCATAAACAAACATAAGGCTACGAGGTTCCTAGAAAATGATATAACGTTATGTGCAAGTAATCCTATGGGAAGAACTGAAAATAACCACGGAATATTTTTTGTTCGGCACATATTTAAACAGCGTATAAGTAACATGGCAACTAATTCTCGTGATTGCAAAATCTGTACTTAATTAATTAATACAAGCTATAATGTATATCAACGGTCCAGAAAAACATAAATGCATTAAAATTCAGACTGGTATGTCAAATACTCCAAAGCCTTTATTGAATTTGTAAATATCGTTCTAGCGAGTTTGTGCATATTATAACAAAATTGGCCACATGGTTTCTAGTTAAGGTAGCTCAAAAATAATTTTTTAAAACAAAACCCCAAAGACCGAATAAATTAGAGCATATTATTGCGAATTCTCCTTTTCTAGAGCTGATTAAATTGATTATATGGTATATATTATATTTTAGTGTAGTACTAACTACCTTTCTCCAATTCATGATCATCTCCATAAACATATTATAAATTGCAGATACAGTCATCTCCCTCTGTTGTGACACGGCAAATTAATGTTCCTACATACATGACTTATCCATTATCGTTACTAAATATATAAGAAATAAAACTGACATATTCATCGTAATTGGGTTCATTAAAAGATGAGTGAAATGGAAAATAGGTAAATCGTTAGACAGTGTGTGTGCTGTGTAAATACCCGCCACTCGACAACTGGCTAACCCACATAGTCAACAACAAAAAAACCACGTGGCTAAAATTTGGGATGAAAAACACTTCAGATGACAAAAAGTATGTATTTATATTATATTCTATATATAGAATGTTGCCAGATTTAAAGACGGATTTTGGGAGGTTTCACCTTGGTCTATAATAAGGTGGGTTAAAATAAACACTACATGTAATATGTAAATATGTACAGAATCTTAATTTAAGATACAATATACGACGTAAGTACTTACAGTGGTGACGCTTTCAAGGATTAGTGTATAAGACATGGAATTGTGGAGGTCATTTATTAAGAAAATGTGTATCAAAGATTTAGCTGCTTCGTCCGTATTTTGTTAAATTATTGGGATATTCTTTAGCTATCAACACGGATTTAAAGGAGAAACATTGAACACGAACACATAAAAGGATGGACTACAAATAACTAAGGCCAGAAACATTGAACACGAACACATAAAAGGATGGTACTACAAATAACTAAGACAGAAAAAAACACCATTAAATTCTTTAATATTACATATTTTATATCGTTGGTGAGGTAGATTCGAATTTACCATGGAAGTAGCTTTAACATTATTTGGATTACTGCTAATGGTTTTAACTGCTCAAGCCGCCACACAAGGTACGTGACAACCATCACCTACAGTATATTTAATGCAATTAATGTTTTCAAAAGTTTGGAACATGAAAGAGAAAGTATGCCGATATTTCATTTCATAAAACCAAACTCACCTTCATCAAGTCTAGGAACTTGTCTAACCCTGCGTTTAATCTAAAATATCTAAAGGACACGGTTGAAAGTTAAATTAAGAAAAATGACGCATTTCGTCATTTAACAGACTTTCTGAAGAAAAACACTAACTCTGGAAAGTGGTAGCCTATATTTCAAACTCAATTAACATTTCAATCAAACGATCAAGAAGTAGAGAGAGAGAGGGAGAGAGAGAGAGAGAGAGAGAGGGGGAGGACACAAACTAGGTCATTTCGGGACTAACGCATGGTTGAATTTTTTATTTCAATAGAAACTGGAGGACCAGGCGGAAACTCACGAGGTTGGATAGGCGAACCAGGGAATCGAAACCACAGCAGTGGACTCAATGACAGACCTTATGAAACAGCGCGCTCATGCTAACCATTCGGCCATCCAACCCCACCGATCAAGAAATAAACTGACACTATAATATCTACGTGGCATTAATAACACTAAATAAAATGCATTCTATTATATAAAAATAAACATCATTTAAACAACTATTTATCTATAAATTGAAGGCAATGGGTTCTTTATTACCGATGAGTTATTGATATTTTTTCAATCAACTAAAATAAATTGAAAAGAAATATGATTAAAAGCCCCAACTATCCATAATTTGAGTAAAATTTAAATATTTGAGCTCTGTACGTCGATAAGAAAGCCTATAATCATTGTTTTTAAAACAGAGGATGGATTCTTAAATTCCCTCTTTCACAGACGGAAATCAATCATCATTGAACGTTTAAATGAAATGGTTGTCAACGTCCTACTTTTCTGACGATATTGAACGTATAAAGAAATATCACATACAATATTAAACACATGCGTTGTCTCTAGTATTAGTTCATACCGTCTGGCACAAAGTATAGTTTTAGGTATAGCAAAGACACCCGTGTGTAGTTCACTTATTTCTGATTGATTTGTTATGCCCAAATGTCTTTTCTCAGCAAACGTCCAGTTGGGTCTAGATATTTAATATCCATAAATTCAGTAATATTATCTTCGCCAACCGATATGTCTTGAAATTAAATTTTGTCTTCGTCCAATGCCCAGTTATGTCTATAATTTCTTCACTCTTTTCGCTTAGTGTCCAGTTAGGTCCGGTAGTTAGCGTCAATTTATGTTTGAAAATTCAGTTCGGACTTTGCTTTGCGTCCAGTTACGCCCGAAAATTTGTTTTTTAACAATATTTTATTCAAAAGATGAAAATGATTGAGGAAGAGGTACAGCTTATATGACACCTCTCCTTCGTTTAACGTCTAGTCATGTACGTAAAACACCTTTGTCATGGTTTACGTCCAGTTCTGCCTTCCTGTCAAGCCCAGTTATGTCCGGAAAATCACCCACGTCTTCGTTTAAGGCCCAGTTATGTCCGGAAAAACACCTACGTCCTCGTTTAAGGCCCAGTTATGTCCGGAAAATCACCCTTGTCATCGTTTAACGCCCATTGGTTAAAGCCCAGTTACGAGTATGTGCGGAAAATCTCCTATCTCATCCCTTAACGTCCAGTTGTGTCTGGAAAATCACTCTTGTCATAATTTAACACCCAATCATACAAGAAAATTTAGTTTTGTCTTTTTGTCCGGACATTTTGTTTTTTCTTTGGCAAACGTTTTTAAAAATATGTCCGTAAATTCACTTTTTTCTTTCATGAAGTTCTAATAAACTGTATCGGCAAAATAGTGTAATCATGACCCTCGTTAGAGTATAGTTTGCGCCTGGTTGGCCAAGTATTAAGACTCAACACACTAGAGTAAATTAGTATACGTATGTAAGTTTGCTAAAGGACGATTGATGTAAAACCGACAATGGCTTTCATAAACTTGCACTGTAGTACAGTAGACTGCCTATATAGATAACTCCTGTTTCGAAATCACGCGATAGACGTACTAATTCTTGAACAATTAGGGTCACGAATTAAGGCAGTTTAGTGCAGTAATGACAAATTCTATGCCTTGTGGGTATGACTGGACATTAACGAAAAAATTATTTCCAATAGTACTTAAAACTAACATTATTGTAGAAAGTGGCCTTGCTTAATGTATAACGCTAACTCCTCCAGAAACCCAGGTCGAGAGATGAATGAACGGTATGTGCCACGATTATTATAAACCCCTTTCGCAGCGCAGGATAACGCCCTTTTGTCCTTAAAACAGTTCCTCGACTAATTCTCATATATGCCATTGTTTTCTCTTTTTTTTTAAAAAAAAAATATAATGTACATGTATTACAGATAGATTCATGTGCATAACGTGTCAATATCAGAGTAACATGATAGACACAGAATGTGTTGATGCACCTGAAAACATGACAGAACCACAGAACAGAATTAGATGTCCCTCTAAATGTATGACGCAGGGTAGATTTAGCAAAGGTGGGTATAAACAGTCATAAAAAACACAGCCTATCACCATGTGCTATGTGCTACTTATAGTATTTTTTTCTGTCTGCGATGTAAATAATAGAAATTCATTCTAATGACGATCACCATAAACAAAAGTATTAAATGTTATTATAAACTAATTAAATCTCTTAATGGAAAATGAAATGAAATGGGATTTAACGTTTTACTGTTCGGCCCCGACTGGGATAATCAAGACGGCCATGCCCCATGCTGTGTGCGATGAGGGAAATTGTATTTACAGGCTACAGTCAATTCCAACTGTGAAGGATTCTTTTACGTGCATGCCACGGGAACTCATTTTGTCGTCCAACACGAACGACTACACGTTGTCATTTGTCAGGCTCTCGGTCCTACACCACAGGCAAGAGGGAACCACGCCGGAAAATCCAAATGAACTTTATCGGACAACGTAGGGATCGAACCCGTTACCTTCAGCTTAGAGAACCAACGTCTTACCCACTGAGCCATCCTGATTCCGTCTAAAAGTTATATCAGTGCAAACGTGGTTAAATTCCGTTCCGTATTTACCAAGAATATGATGAAAATTGACATCTGCCATTCTATACAGATGAAAGAAATGGGATAGGGTCAATAACCGCCAACTGTAATCATCGCGACAATCAATTGATGGGCCTGTTTTTAATCCCATGGTATCCAAGTCAGGAGATTATCTACCGTTGGTATTTGGATTTTGCTCTCTTAGTTAAATCTTAAATAATCAATTTGGGTCCATTATTTGGGTCAGTGCAAACGTGGTTAAATTCCGTTCCGTATTTACCAAGAATATGATGAAAATTGACATCTGCCATTCTATACAGATGAAAGAAATGGGATAGGGTCAATAACCGCCAACTGTAATCATCGCGACAATCAATTGATGGGCCTGTTTTTAATCCCATGGTATCCAAGTCAGGAGATTATCTACCGTTGATATTTGGATTTTGCTCTCTTAGTTAAATCTTAAATAATCAATTTGGGTCCATTATGATTTGGATCACGCCATGGAAAACTTGATAATTTTCGGGAAAATGCAAATGCTAATTAAACACAAAACCTATTCCAGATAATTGGTGATTTTTCATCACAATGGTCAATATAAGAATATAATGAAAAAATATTTTTTAACTCGTACTGGCCATTTAATTAACCACAGATACTAATGCCATTGCATCGGGCACGACAAGTATTTTACTTGTGTAAATAATGTATTTTGCCAAAAAACGAAAAGAATATAGAAACGACAACTTACAGTCAACTAAGGGTAATGCCTACTATGCTATCCAGGGATAAGTATTTCAAGAGTACAATAAAACAGAAGTCTCATGTCAATCAAAAAATATAGTACCGTCGATCGTAAAGAGTAACAAATTACATACAAATACAAAAGGACAATTTTGTGTAATAACTGAAGGACATGTAAACGGTATCGTTGCGATGGACATTTAAAAAGAAAATGACGCAGTCGTGGAAAACTTTCCAGGAGCGATTTCTGTATAGCAACTGTTTATCTCAACTACATGTATAACTCTAACGCTTATTCGCTGCACGTGCAGTACAGATAATGGTGGTGGTGTGCAGATTCTTTATCTCGCTCATTATCCTCTTTTGTATTGAAACCATAGAAAGAATAACGTAACTATGTTAGTCTTCAAATAACTAACGTAGAGTTTTGTTGTGTTTTTAAACCCCATTTCACCTCTAGATATTTCACGACCTGATTATCAATTTACAGTTCTATCGACGGCTCTATCACCTGATTAGATACCTAATAAGATGATAGAAGTATGTTCATAGCTAGCTAAAGCCATGTTTTATTTCCTTTGTGCTCAGTGAACTTTTCCAGTAACAATTTTAGTGCTGATTTACTCATTGATAAATTTTAACACGAATAAGAACTTTGGTTCCATTCAAACATTGACAGAAAATATGAATTATCAAATATTCTAGATACTCCAAGTGGAAACTAGTCTTGGGGGGCGACGCTCTTCGAAAAAAGCCTAAGGTCCCCCTTAATTCATGTACGATCGACATGAAACTTGACATGCGTAGTAGTCAGTTCCTGATACTTGTTTCAGCAGCTTTTCAGTAATTTGTTTATATTTTCTATATTTCAGATACGCATAAACCATCTTATATGCTCCGAGGTTGTATGACTCTAGGTGATACAAGAGAAGATGACTGTGAGGAATCGGAGTTGGAATACCATTGTTATACTTTTTGTTCAGGTCATTTCTGTAATTTTGATTCTGGATTTGCTTTAGACACGGCCACCAATAGTCAGCCATTTTTCGTGCTAGTTTATATGTCTTCTGTGCTAGCCTTATTTATGAAATAAATCTGCCTGTATTGTGTGTCGTTCTTGGGCCTGGAATGTTATCTACAATATTAATTAGGCATTAATTAACTTATCCAAACCATAATCAACCCTCGATACCATCGTTAGCCTGCGATATTTAGTGGATTTAAATATATTTTGTGATTGATAATATAATGTAAACATAGATAATTGAAACTTGGTTTATTATCGAACCGAAGTTAGTAATGACGTTCGAGGCTAGCTTAAAATTGAATCGCTAATATCTCGTTGAAGCAATCTGACTGAAAATTTCAGCATATTCTGTTTTCACTATCTATATTTTAACTATTTTAGCGAGATTTATCAGCTCTTTATCTAATCGTACCTAATGCCTCTTTAAAGAAGGCAGCATATCCACTAATTTTTAGTAAGGAGTTATATCGTCATAATAAAATCACATAATCACATATATCTTCATAATAAAATCACATAATGAATCTGAGTGTTTTGTAATCACTATTAATGTTTTTATACAACGAGACTATAAGCTGCTGTTCAGACGGCATTGGCATTTGAACAAATTGTTGTTATTTACGAATAACGAACTACCTTTATATATTGTACGGCACATAGCTATAATAACACCTCGTAATATAATTAGTGCAGTATTAAGCCCCACTTTTATGGTCCATGCACATGACTATCACGTGATCATTCAACAAATCTTATCTACTTCTTTGTTCTGCGGAAGGCATAACATTTATTTCTAAATGCAAAGCATTATCACTATTACGCATATGGTTCCAAATTGAGTGGCCAGTACGGACCCGAATGATTTCATATTTCTATAGTTGACCGCTTGAATGGGATAATTATGCTTAGTGTATATTAATTTAATAATAAAATTAGCACGAAAATGATAATTTCGTGTATTTAGAGCCTGTTATTGCTAGAATTGTTTCTCTTACACAAGAAACGTTATCCTTTACAACTACAATGTGATCTGACACCAGGCGGGACAACCTACCATATAAAAATTATATTCGCAACCAATCGCTATCACCTAGAATATAAATCTATGTAATTATTTATGAACAATAATTTTATAATCAAAATAAACTGGGATTGGCCTTTTTTATACTGAAAATCTCAAATTGCCTTACTTAAAGGAGCTAAATCGCTATAATATTGGACCTAGAAATTTACACAAATGGGTCGCAACGCATACAATATGTAATATGAATGTATATAAATTGGTTTACATTCAATCGTTTCTGTTTTTACTGTAATTTCTTATCAATTAGGTTCGGTGAAATACGCCAGAGTCACAATCGAATGGCAATCTCTAGCGTCTGATTATTCCAGTCTACGCCAATAGTATTCATTGCGCATGGTCTCCAGATAAGAATATAGCGTCGCCGTTTGACATGACTTATGGAATATGCCTAGCCTCGTTTTTCGAATCTCTTATTACAAATGGCGCTGAAACGCATTATGGTACACGATTCGTGTACCAATTGTAAAGTGTTTATTTTGTCTTAAATATTGGATATCAGAAGGCCATCTTTTACCGGTAAGATCACAACATCAATGTTGATTTAAACAGACAAATAATTCGTGTTTTCAATGTCGAAGATTTTGGACGATATTGAGTTCGAGACTTAGCTACTTTAACGTAAGTTCGCTTGAAGGAATGGATTGCCCATGTACCTCAAACTTAGCACTTGCACGATATAATTTGAACACACCAGCTATAACTGTATGTCAAATGACAGCGATACTCCCGCCTATTCTTATTTTGATTACCAATTGTACTCATAAGTGGGTCTTTTATGTGCTGTCATTGCTATGGATGGAGCTTCGATGCTTCATCCCACTGAAAGGCTAGGTATTTGTCCTTGCTAGACCCTCGGAAAAGTACCACTGACAAAGGGAAAGCAGGCTGTAAAATCTTCATTAACTTTCTTTGCCAAAACCAGAATCGAACTATACAAACTGTATATTTAAATTTCACCAATTTGAAAATATTATTTGACCGACATGCGAATATCTCTAAAGCGTTTATACCTCTTGAAAGATTAGGCGCCATTTAATGTATTCTAACGCTGAATGGGTTCAAAGTAACCAGGATTGTCATTGTCGATGTTATTTAATCTTATCAAGCTATTTTCACGGTTAGAAGAATGGGTTAATGGCCGTATCACATGTTACAACTTCATTAATTACGCTGCGACACCTTTACAATAATGATGCCACCTTAAACATACTAATTCTAATCAATCTTAAGTCAAAGTACAGCGACTCTTACAATACCCGGGAGATTGACCGTGAGCTAAATAGTTTCTTATTTATGTCTAAAATAGCCGAATATTGGTAAAGAGTTTGGAAATATGTCAGTAAAAGGAATTCTTAGAGTGACTGCATATGCTTTAATTCTACAAATACGTTCATATTCTTCATAATTTTATATCGCGCCGCTCACTTGGTATTTTTTGTTTTATATCAAGACCATTGGATTTATTACGAACAACTCGATCAGTAATAATAAAAAATTCACTATGGATATGGACTATGAAGGTTCGTAATATTTTTCTTTTTCATTAGACTTTCTGATAATCCATTTGGGTCTACGAAAGGTATTACCGTGATGGAAAATTGCCATTTATGCTAAAGAAGTTAATGTTATATACTCTTCAAAAAAAGTAGGGGATATTCAGAAACAATACAAAACTGCGGAAATGCACTGCTGTTTTTATTAGAGGCAACCAGTGTATGTTAATAACAGGCCAATTGCCTACACATGAACATAAACAGTTCATATGGGCGGCTTATCTGACGGTCCCATTTCACTCGCAAAGAGATACACTGTCAAAAGTGAAAATGAACGTTTTTGATTTTTGTCTTCATAATGAGTAATTGCTCAAAAATTCGTCGTGGCATGCTCCTATTCATCCGTCCAATCACGATTTGGGGCAATGCGACCCACTCCTCTTGCAGTGCCACGGCCAATTCTTGCAGTGTTGTCGGTTGACGTTGACGTCGACCAACACGTCTCCCGATCAAATTAAACGCAACACAATAAAGCAAAGATACGCTAAACAGTAAATCGTATGCAAGAACCGATCGGAAAGCAAACATGGATAGGACAAACTAGCAAGCGGCAGTTTTCATCAACCCTTTCTTGAAGTGTCAAATTTTACAATGAACCCCTCCCACGTGTATGGCGCTATTGCGTGTCGCACATGCAGCTCAGTGGTTCTGTTGGGGCGATAAGTTCTTCATCTGTTAACATACTCTCAAAGCATGTCAAGTGTCCATGACTATTTATCATATCACAACCTGCATAGGTATTTGCATTTCAATATCCCCTACTTTTTTTGAAGAGTATTTATCCATATATATTCATGCTTAAATAAAATACTCGTAGATTGTTCCCCAAACCCCGGCGTATTTTGATCATGTGTTGGTGTGTCGTTTTGTTTTAATAGTTAAAACTATATATCTGACAAACTGGACAGTAAAGTGCAGGAGAAACCCAGACGTCAAAGAGACAGACAACACACAAGTAATAGTATAGGAATTGATAAAGCTTTCTAGTCTGTTTGTATTCGGTGCCAGTATAATTCAATTTAGATTCAGACAATAACAAATGATCATAATAAAAATTGGCCCAAATAATGTTCTGTGATATTGTAATCAATTTGTAACGCATCATACGGAAACCACCTCTGTTAGTAATCTAAGTGTATTAAGCTGCGTTCACACTGCATGTACATTCAATGCGAATTCCGGAGACCGGCCTCTGAAATTGGGCTAGGTTTGTCTCGGATTTAAAGCGGTGCGTCCCATTACAGCTTATTCGGCTTTAAATTGAAACACGCAACACTGAATGCATATAACTAGCAGAAGTGAAGGTCATTCCGTACCCAAGATTGAAATGAAGGAGGGGGTGGCGAGTGGTTTGTCGAAAGAAGTTTATCGCTGTCAAACAGTAACCCAATCACTAAAAATAGACTATACTTTCTATTTATCTTATTTGTCAAAGGCTCGGATTAGCCATATCGATCACTACATTTCGTTGCAGTCACGGTCGTCCAGCGAATGTCTTATACTGTGGCAGCTTGATTTCCTCTTATATCCTTATTGTCTGCTTTCTTATTGTGTTCCAGGTTGATTTCGGCGTCATTTCCGTATATGTTAATATGTCACGCGATATCTCACATTTGCATTTCAAAGATAGTGCTCTGCGTAAGATGCTATGTAGAAAGTATAGAGGACAAATGTGATGCGGCACAGCACAAATGTAAAATGTAAAGAGAGAAATGTAAAATGTTGACACGTCAACCCCCCCCCCCCCCAGAATATTCCAAAACAAAAATTGTCATTTGGCACATTACTTTTGACGTTTTATATTTAGATGTGGAAAGCACAGATGCCAAAAACTCAACACAGCCGACGTGTGACGCATACTCTCTTCTGCTTTATGTGATCGTCTAGTATTGTCTCTGGTTATATTTGTAATTAGGGCGAGATTTGTTCAAAAGAACACATATTATTATGTATAATAGTATTATGGTCTTGACTAATTATTGTTTACAAATCATAGACATGCAAATGAGCACGTGAAACAACGGAAATATGTGATATTATGATAATGAATTGAACTAAAGGTTAATAAACACGGTTGCCATAATATGCCATCTTTATGGTCAGGAATGGAATGTGTCTGTTGACCAAATTAAGTAATAACCCCTGTTAGTATGCAAGGTATGAGACATGTCCATTCCATATTCGGCTAATTTGTGACGAAATTGGGTATGAGTGACCAATCACATGATTGATTTCAGAAGTCAAGGCATATAAAACTCTATATATATGCGGAGTTATTCCAGACAATCGTGTAGATTTTGAGAGGCCAAACACTATGTGGAAATTCGTTGGGCGAGACCGTTGAGGTTCAAGAGCCTAGCCTGTTCCCAATCCAATTTCAAATGGAATAAAAAATTGTTTATAAAAATCTAATTCATTTAAATCGGGAAATCATATTAATTTGAGCCAGGGACGACAGGTTTTATTAAGCCAGAATCAGACCATAAAAGAGACTTTGATAGTATACACGACGATGACTAGAAATAATATGAAATGGGGTTTAACGTCCTACTGTTCTGCTGTGAACTGGGCTAATGAAGACGAGCATACGCCATACAGTGTGCTATGAGGAAAATGTTGCCCGGACAGCGGCACTACGGCCTACTCTTATATCGAATTCCAACTCTCAAGAGATATTTTACGTGCACGCCAATGTGTACACGGGACCTCGGTTTTTCGTCCCATCCGATCGACTAGACAGCTGTCCTTGTCAGGCCTTCCGTCCTGCATCACTGACAAGGGGAGACCACGGAGAAAAATCGGCCAATGCAGGGATCGAACACCCGACCTCCAGGCTAGCGAGCCACCGTGCCCCCCCTCCCGAAATAATATG